GTACTTGGAGATGTTGTGAAGCATCAAAATTCCCTATGCTAAGAGATTTTCTGGATAAATGTGACCACTTAAGGAGTCTGACTGATCAAGATTACTGAATAAATCGGTATGTAATTAGTTTATTCTATTTGCATAATGCAAAAATGTACAATGGCTAGAGAGCTTATTTCTACTAGTATAAAGCATTGTTAGTTCAGCCATTGTTCCTTTCCCTAAGATGTTTAAATAGCTTCATGTTCATGTGGCACAATTTCTGAGTGCCCCAAAGGGATGACTTGGGGGTTGAAGAGCGTGGAATTACGAGGGAACCAAGGTCTGAGCAACTGACTTTCATGGTTTTCGTGTGATTATATGTATTATTTTCTCAATTATGTATTCACCAATATCTTGGCCATCTGACCAAGGAGCATCGTGTTCGCTTTGAAGCAACTGTATGGTACTGGCATTTTCAGTAGAGACGAAACTAGGTGCACTTTTCTCATTTTCCTAAGCTTTGGTTGGCATAGGTTCCAGTACTAATGGAGGTAATAAATATTTGGAAAATTAGTCAAAGTTACGCACAAACTAATCAGACACCACCATTATTATTTCAAAAAAAAAAGAAAAAGAAAGAGAATGAAGTTCAAGTAGCAAGGCTTGATCTGAAAGATCTACAAATGGTTGATCTCGAATATCTTAAGATCGTTGAACGCTTGAAGTCCTCAAGAAAGTACAGTGGGCAATTGGTCATCTCTAGTTTTCAGGAATTCAGGAAATGTAATAAAAACCCCAAAAATGGAATCTCAACCATGGAAATAGTCCTCCTCTAATTTCGTGGCTGAAGGCATTCATATTAACAGGTAGATAAAACTGGAAAACCAAAACGGTGAATCAAGAATGTTACAGAGGAAAACAACTGCTCTGATTTTTCAGTCAACAAAACCGGACTATCCTTTTTCGCTTTGGTTTTCTTGTTATCATGTTGATGTTATGGTCTGTTGCTACTGCTTTTTTTTGTATCTTTACTTATAAGGTCTATCAGAAATAGCCTCTCTACCTTCTTAAGATAAGGGTAAGCTATGCATACACACCCTCCACGTACCCCACCCCACCCCACGAGGATTTGTCAATGTTGTTTTATTCTAAAGAAACAGTCAACTAGTAAGAGAGTAAATGGAATGATAGGTATCAAAATATTTAGCATTCATTTCCGTTCGATATAGTGAAAGTAAGAATCCATATTTTCAAGTCATTATCTTGCTCCTTGACAAAAGCAAGGATATAACAAAGGCTCAAATATATTAAAAAAATATTAATTAATACAAAACATGCCCGCAGTTTAGATTCGTAACTCTTCCATAATTAACAACAAGAGTAGTTCAACAACAAAAAAAGCAAGGAATAAGTCTCAAAACTAGTTAAAAAGAGCAGCTGATGAATTGCATCTTCTTCTGATGAGGCCATTGCAAAATTATGCAAGCAGTTGTGTCTCGCAAAGATGAAAAAATAAAATTAAATTCTGTAGTAATTTGTTGCGCGTATCGACTATTGCTTAGCTTTTGATGCCTCCTGTAATGATGCCAAGAAAAATAGAATTTTTTGTTAGTAGAGTCAAATAATGTAAACTTTAAAACGGAAATAGGTCAAGTTAATAACTCACTTCAGTTTCAGCAGCTTTGGCATCTGCAGATTTTGGTTCAGCAACTTTTGGTTCATCAGCCTTCACATTCTCTTCACCTGTACAAAAAGTCATCTTGAGTATTGTTTCCAAAAGAGTTCTATGTACTGACGGCGTAAAGAATATTTACTAAATCAGGTCATTTCTGAGGTAATTACAAGTAAATCTCTATAATACGCATTAATAAGTAAGTAGCTTAATGAAAATGGTACTTACCCTGCATTAAAGAGGCTAAACTACCCTGATAGTGTGAAGGATATTTACACTGTCAGTGTATATAACTTATATCAGTGGCGAAGCCAGGAATTTTCACAAGGGTGTTCAAATTTGAAAGAAGTGAAAAAATTTTCCGATAAAGTATGTTCAATATATGTTATATACCTCTAAAACTTAATATTTTACCTATATACGCAATGTAATTTTTCGACGAAGGGTGGTGAATTGATTACCCTTGATAGGCTGTAGTTTCGCCCCTGACTTATATCCTTCTTGCAATCAAAGGTGGTTTCTGAATTATAGGACAACAATTTCAAATCTAGTAATTGAGTTACGAATTTAATTTTTTTCTGTACATATTTAGTGAATTTCTTACTATATATTTAGGATTTGGCCCAAAGTTACTAGATTCTGCTTCAACCATATAGTAAAGCCTACATATTCCCCAGTTTGCATTACTATACTTTCATGGTTATAGTAGAAATAGTTCTATATCACATAGACCTCAAAGAATTTGAAGATGTATGACGTGTGAGTTGCCGAGAGTCTAGCGGAAGCAGCAACTCTGCCCTTTCAAGGTAGCGGAAAGGTTTGCATACACGCTACCCTTCCCAGACCCTACTTGTAGGATTTCACTTAGTTTGTTGTTGTATGATGTGTGAGTTATGCTTGATATGGTATGGACTACATTCTAAATCTCTTATTTGGATAATAGAACTACCTCCATCTTCAGGCAAATCAGAGGTCCATAGTGTGAGATTGTCTCTCAACAGCTGCATGATTAAGGTACTGTCCTTGTATGATTCTTCACTTAAAGTGTCTAACTCAGCTATTGCCTCATCAAAAGCTTGTTTAGCCAAGTGACAAGCCCTGCAAAATTGAATTGTCAATCTACATCATCTTATCGAAGGGGAGCCTTAGCGTAACTGATAAAGTTGATATGATCAGAAGGTCACGGGTACGAGCCGTTGAAACAACCTCTTGCAGAAATGCAGGGTGAGACTTCATACAATAGACTCTTATGGTCCAGCCCTTCCTCGGACCCCGCGCATAGCGGGAGCTTAGTGCACCGGGCTGCCCTAATCTACATCATCTTATCATATCATATGTTTTCAAGAATAAATTGGTTATGAAATGCTACCTTTCCGGGGAGTTCATGATCTCATAGTAGAAAACAGAGAAGTTCAAAGCAAGACCAAGCCGGATCGGATGTGTTGAAGAGAGATCAGTGTTTGCAGTTGCAGTAGCAGCCTGAAAAGGAGTAAAGGGATGCAAAATCAAGTGCTGCTCTAAATAATGTGCAGCGTTTAATCGACTAATCGTACAGTTTCAGTTAGAACAGAAGAAGAAATTAACTTGCCTCATAGCCCTTCAATGACTGTTCTGCAGCCTCTTTCCTTTCAGAATCAGTCTTGAACTCAGCAAGATAACGGTAATAGTCACCTTTCCTGAACCACAGAGGTAAAAGTCAGACTTAAAATCTGTCATAAATATGCCAAAAACTGAAAGAGTTTGATTTGGAACAGCTGCTCTTCCCGGGGCCCGAGCCATCAGTGAGATACCTTTCTGGAACGGTTAGAATTCTAACCTTGTGTCAGAAACTAAAGGCCAAGGGGCAATCTCGGGTAGACAGTTACTATAAGGCGTAGAGATGGGGAGCTAGCACTGACAGGTTTGACCGAACCTAGTCACTTTAAATTATTATTTTAGAACTCAATAACTTAAAAGTGCTAGATTTTCGAACCCATAAACTTCAAATCCTGATTCCGCCTTCTTAGGCCTCTCAAAAGGTATCATAAGAGTGGGCAAAAGATTACGCAAGCCGAACAGAGATTGGCCCTCGAGTGCTAAAAGGGTCAAACTAAAAAGGATTGAACTACCTACTCATTATTCAGAGGTGAATCATAGAACACCAAAAGCTGTGGTATCTTATGGACCTAACATAGGTCATATACCTCACGACATAAATTGAAAGATCCAAACCTTCTTCTTCGGAGTGGAAAAAGACGTGGCCAAAACATATAAAGAGCGGCGTAGTCGTTCATAGGGACATATCTATCAGGATAGAAGATAGTCTAGGCCGATTCATGGATAGATCTCTTTCGGTATAGATAGGTATCTTACAAGAGGTTTACTCGGGCCAAAGGGAGATTGACCCTCGAGTGCAAAGGCAAAAGGGAGTTTAACTTCATGACTCACCCTTCGAGAAAGTTATCAAGGTTATAGGAAATTTTGACTTACATTTTGTAATAGAAGACAGTAGCTTCACCAGTACCAGCAGATGGAATAAGATGTTTGTCAATGATTTCAAGAATGTCAGAGCAAATCTTGGAGAGCTCTTCCTCTACCTTTTGACGGTAGCCTTTTATCAGCTTGACATTTTGTTCGTTCCCTTTCGATTCTTCTTTCTGTTCAATGGATGACATAATTCGCCATGAAGCTCTTCGAGCTCCAATGACATTCTTGTAACCAACAGAAAGCAAGTTCCTTTCCTCTACTGTCAATTCCACATCAAGTTTTGCAACTTTTTTCATACTCTCAACCATTTCTGTGAAATCAAACCAATGAAAAGTCAAGATTCATACATTCCATTTAAGAGATAAGATAAGATGAGGAGAAGCGCTCAACATGTTTTGAGCCTCGCTTTAGAGCTTAAGCACGCCTTTGATAACACTTAATGAGATATTTCAATCTTTAGCCAGAAGGATTATTCCAAATTGATGAGAATTTCAACCTTTAGCCAGAAGCATAATTCCAATGAAAAGGCAAGAAACTCTATTCCATTAAATGTTCACTGTGTTCCACATTTTATATTTGGATTATATAACCTCAAACAACCACTATTGATCAATGTGTACCAACAAAAAGAAGGTGCAGTACATTAATTAACCATGAAATAAGAAATTAATTTTATGTAAAAGACACATGTCATGTCATGCATTTATTGATTTGGTGCATGTACCACGAGTGAGTATATTTTTTTGCTCGCATGCACATGTACCCCTTATACCCCATTTCCCAAATCTTGTAT